GGGTACGAGATTTTCTTTTTGAAGCTTTTAACATGATCCCTATAATAATATGGGTATCCATATATACCCATATTATCCATTGGGTAACTCGTTTTTACTCATTTAAAATATGAATCGAGTCGAATTTTTATCCATTTTTATTTAATTCATTTTCGATTCACTCATATTCGACTTGATCCACTCGTTTGTCACGCCTAGTTACCTCATTAGAACACCATTAATTTGCTTACAATACCTCCTTACATAAAACCTATTCCTCCTTTTATATATATATATATATATATATATATATATATATATAAAGGCAATGAATCCAACACAATTAATTAAAGAGAGTATATCCCCTAAGGATAAGTATTGTGCCCTAAAGGCATGCCAAGTAAACCTACAAACCAATTAGAAGGAACGCAGTAGCTTCTCCTATATAGGAATAGGAAAATCCTGAACTAAGATATGATTGCAAACATTATTGAGGTTAGACTCATGGACTTGATTTACCTCCTTAATTGGGAAAAGTCTGTTTTTCCTCCAATCAACACACAACCTATATATAGTTTCAAAGACGAGAATAATAATTCTAATAAAGCTAATTCTTTTTGTTTTTCATAAAACAAATAATATATTTTTGTGTTTGTCCATCTGTTATTTATAGCAATCCTTATCATGTTGAATATTTTCATGAAAATAATAAATAGGAATGGAGAAAGAGAATCACCATGTTTAAGACTCCTTTCTAAAAGGAAAAATAACAAGTTCATAAAGAAAACTTGACAATTTTGATACAGAAATCAATCCATTTCAACCATCTCTCACTAAATCTCATTTGCTTGAGGATGTTGAGCATATAATCTAATTGACACGATCATATGCTTTTTCTATACCTTACACATAATGCCTAGGTCCTCCTCTTTCAATCTAGAATCCACACATTCACTGGCAATGAATGCAACATGCATAGACCATAATATGTCTTCCTATTATGAAGAGCCATCATATGATTAATTTATAGACCTCACTCATAAAGCTTATAGGTCTATAATCTCATTGGTCAATTGCTCCAATCTTCTTTGGAATGAGGGCAATTGAGGCTTTTTTTCATACACTTAGTAAATGTAAATAATGCCTAGTGCTCTTCAAAATCTCACAAAGGATTGGTAAAATGTCATTGCAAAATCATCAGGGCAAGGAACCTTGTCACTTGTAGAAAGTCTGATCCTGTTAAGTGTTGAGCCTTCTTCCTCAAATTTCCTCTGTCACAACTCGTGTTCCTCGTTGCTAATTTCTGGAGCCTCCTGTATATTGAAGTCGTGTCTCCAACTTGCAGATTCCGTAACAAGTTGTAATAGAACTCTTGTATGGTAGACTTCATAATTTCATGTTCAACAATGGACTCCCCTCTACTTCCAGTACATCAATAGAATTGATCCTGGCAATGAAAATATTTTGTTTTCGTCTCCACTTCTCAGCCATTGTATTCAAGACCTTTATCTATAAGCCGCCTCTTCATTTTTAGCTATCTCCTCAAGTACCATTGCTAGATATATTTTCTGCAGCATTTCATCCTCTGCAAGAAGTGAAGCCTCTGTGAGTAGACTTGAGATCAGACATCAGAGAGATGGTTCAAAATATCCTCCTAATGTAGTCAGAAAGTTACTTTCGCATTGCCAAGATATACAATATTTCTTAATGAGGACTGATGTGTCTGCTAAAGAGGGAAAGAAGAAGTGATGCTTCTTCCAAAGTATCTTCTATCCATTCGTTCATATTGTCAAAAGAATAAACAAGTACACAAATACATCAACAAAGAAAAGTGAAAGAAGAAACAAGCCTCGCCTCTGTAATAACAACTAACCAAGCAATTTTCTTTTAGCTGCTCACGGAAACCCAAACTAAAATTATTGTCATCAAGACACCCAAAAGCTAAGAGAAATCACAACAAACAGCTTACAAAAGCACAAATGCAGATTAAATTGCACCAGACAAAATAACTTGGAGACAAATGACAATACTATTCCTAGAAAAAGAATGAAGGTTCAGTGGTGAACCAAATATACAGGTATAGCTTCAATGTTCAGAATGTGTCTACAGAGAAAACAAGTTTCTACATGAATCTTTGACATAGAGCACTAATAGTCATCTCATCGGTCATTCAATAACAATTAAAAGAAAACCTACCTGAATTTGTTTGAAGCTTATTATCCTGCCCTCTTACTAAAATAAACTGATAAATCCCTAGACTGAACTGAACACACAGAAAATAACATTCAGCTCAGTAAATGTCATCTAACTGATCAGCCATCTGAAAAATGGAAGTGCCAACCAGTCCTGACGATGAAAGCCTACTTTTCCGGCAAGGCTAGAATTCATGCGCTGCTAATGGAGAAAAGTACAAGAACCCCATTCGTTACAGGTCCATCCTACACTGCCTCCGATCGGTTGACATAACTGAAGGCACCTGCGGATGTAGGATTTCAGCTTGAAGCTGACACCAAGGACGGATGGATTGGGTTGTTAGGATGAGCACATCTTGACAATAAATGCCTTTGCAATCATCAGTTTGAATTGGTTCAATATCAATACATTCCCTTGAATACGGGATTTGTCCGGCATATGCTAGCTCCATATTCCTCGTATTCTGCCTTTGTATGGCAAGCCTAACATAAAAAATATTCAAATTGATCATCAAAATGAGATTTTAAATTCCCCTATTTGACCGAATGCATAAACCAGTAAATGCAAGGATTAACTTCATTTTGCAGTAATTAACTACAATCAGATAAAACCTAAACTAGAACCATTAACATACCGCAAAAAATTCAGGAGTTGAAGCCAGTACAGAACCTCCAAACCAAACTGCATATCTCTGGATAGGATTGCTGACCACATTCACTTCAACTGGTTGTGCCTGAGGTTGAATTCCAGTAGTCAAGCATCCTTGATATATTGGAGACTATTTATTCTTCTCCTAAAATTCAAGTGAGAAATGGAAGGGGAAAACACTTACTTTGACATTTCCACCTAACCGAGCATCTGATGCAAGAATGCGGTCATCCACTATCTTTTTGAGATCTCGCTGCAATCTTCTATGGAAATCTTTGAACATGGTTGACCCTCCAGATAAAACAATATTCTGAACTTCAACAAGTGCACAATATATATCACACTCACATAGAAAAGTAGGTTCACACATAACTTGAGTTAATTCAAGATACAAGGAACCTTTTTGTTGATCAAGAACTGAATCACTAATGAACAGTTCTATGGAATTCAGCAACAAAATTACCTTATATAAAGCTCTTCTTGTGTCTATTGGTGCAGACTGAATACATTTGTCAATCACCTCAGGTAAAGGGTTCGTAAAATCGCTATTATAAATCTCAGGACTGAAGAAAACCTGTGAACACAATTCATCAAGACAATTTATGAATAAAGCATCTGAAACCACCATAAAAAAATCCTACTTCAATCCAACTCTATGTTTATTAAGGTCCAAAGCTCCATTTTCCTTTCTTTTAATTTCTACCATACGGCCACACCCATAGTGGTCGCTAGACTATCGTTCAGCGTGACTCGAGCACCAGACCAGTAAGCCAACTCAAGAGGCTTCCCCTCAAAGTCAAATGAGCATGGATACTATCTTGATTTCTTCAATTAACTTGGGTATTTTCATTGAACTAGAGTAAAGAAAAAAAGCTACTCCGTGCAAAAAGAAACATAGAGTTTGAGCTAACTTGTCTGAACAATTCGAGAGATTTGGCTGAAACCTAAATTGCTTGGACTCGGGTGCGGGTACCCGATACAGGTGCGGATCTAGAGGTTGGATCCATCATGATCTAAAATTTAAGATTTGGGGGTACGAATCCAGGTACAGATGCAGTGCAGGTATTAGGCTAAAATAATTCAAATTTCTAAAAATAGAGTTATTGTCTATATTATGAGACATTATGTGGAAAACTTACAAGGTATAATGAGGAAAAATATAGATCAAGAGGAGAATCCCAAAAAGTGATATATGGAAAAGGACTGACATTGAAATTTCTATATGCAAGGTACTCCATTTTCTTTGACCCATCTTGTAGGCTAACAACTAACAAGCACATTGAAATCAAAACTATATAGCTCAAGAGATTGAGAAACTTGAAGCTAGAGGATAAACCAGACCTCAGGACCAAGAAATCGCTCATAGCCAACATCACATGAATAAGGTGCTCCTGTCTTTGGTTTTGTACCTCTCCAGTGCTTGATGTACTTCCCTGGCTCTTTATCATGCTTATTGAACTCCTGAAATCATTTGACAATAAGGACCTATTACAAGAAAAAATCAGTTGTAACCACCAGCCTCAGATGCAAACAAGGATTGTGAGTTTAAATCATGGCATGATTTGCTTGCCCTAATTCACAGAAATGTCGAACAGATGAGTCAAGTTTGAGAACTGGATGGAAGAACAAGAGGAACTGGATGGATTATCAGAAAGAACTTCAAACTTTTTTTTTGATGACCATGGTGTCCGGCCCAGCTTAATCTACTCTTTCAACTTATTCCTTTTTACTCCTTTTATATAGTCTCGTACAAATAGCTAATACCTTCACAATGTCAGAACAAGTGTAGCAATGCATTTCCTTCACTTTTCGTGCTATTTCAAAGGAATCTTCTGCTGGAACATGTTCTCCCCTTTCCTGGATTTGAATAATCAAAATAAGTTATCTTTTGAAGCTTGATCAAACAATGAGATACCATCTTAGAAACTCAAAGATAGACCTCAAACACACAACATGCTCATATCTGAGTTGTGGCTAGGGGTGGGGATAAATCACCGAAAACCGCAAAATACAGAGCCTAACCATGAGTTTCGGTGTTATCGAGCCGAACCAGGAATTTCGGTAGTTTGGTAAGCATAAATCACCGGAAACTGAAAATTACCAAGCCTAAACGGGAATTTCGGTATTATCGGGTCGAACAAGGAATTTCGGTATCCAGTAATTCAGTAACCAGTATGGTTTTTATGAGAAAATTTCAAAATTTTGGTGGTCAGTTTTGGTACCCGGTTCCAGGCAGCCGGTATTCAGTACTACCAACTTGTAATTCTGTTTCTTGATTTCAGTTATCTGCTTCGCTGGTTCAAGCAGATGCTATTTTTGTTAGTTTTAGTTTTTTACATGCTAGTCAGCAATGTGATTGTTTGTAGGAACATGACCAACTCTTTTTGAGAAATCATCATGTGCTCTGTAGAAGTCTCAATTTCAACAATTTTGTCCTCTTCAATTTTGCGTTAAGAGATAATTGCAATACTCCACCCTGTCATAATATTTTTTCTTCAACATGTTATTACCGAATTATTAAACGGGTACCGAAACCAAACTTTGATAATACCAAAGACTCACCCCTAGTTGTGGTTACCCTACTAAGCAATTGGCAGTTTTAGATTTCCCACAGGTTAAGGACATCTGCTAATAATTGGGTAACATAAGGTTAAAGACGTTGATATTATAAATCAAGTAACCTTAAGCGGTACTTCTTAATTCAAGCAACTATGATCTGAGCACTGGAGAAAAAAACTTCTGAATGACCAGTCATAGGAGAAACAATCACTAATTATCCAATCTTCTTTACTCTCCAGGAAAATTTTTCTAAACAATCGTTAAACTGATAAAATATTTCATAGTAACCCCGTCATTAATTTCCATTTGGATACGATAAAAAAAAAATCCAAATAAACTAGGAAAAAAAATTTCCTTAATATTTTTCAAATTGTAGTAGGATAAGCATTTGTTAATACATTCCTTAGTTTTAAAGTTAAAATGAATAAAGGGTCAACAATAACTCCATCGATGATATTTTATGATTTGAATTAATGTAATAAATTTTCTTATTTTATGTCTGTGAGAAATATTGGAGAAGAATATTATTGAATTGTTGTCTACATTATTACACAAAGACCATATTTATAGACACTACAATACAATCTTTTACCAAGTAGGATACTATTTACTATTCTTATTACTATTCCTATGACTATGACTATTCCTATTCTAAGTATGATTGTATATACCTATTCCTATTCTAACAATCCCCCTCAAGCTAGTGCATACAAATTATATGTACCTAGCGTGTTACAAATATAATTAATACGAGGACCGATGAGGGACTTGGTGAGATATCTGCACGTTGATCACTCGACTTCACAAAATTGACAATCAATCTCAATGTGCTTAGAGCTTGTTTGGATTGGCTTAAAAGTTGGTCAAACCTACTTGTAAGTCATTTTTAGCTTTTGAGAGTGTTTGGCAAGGTTAAAAATAACTTAAAATAAGTTTAAAATGACTTAAAAAGAGTTAAAAACCAAAAGTGGAACTCCCTTTGCTTTTTATTTTGACTTAAAAGTCATTTAAGTTTGACTTTTTTTTTTTTTACTTAAAAACTACTTTTTTTTAAGTCAATTCAAACAGGGCCTGTTTGGATTGGCTTAACAGTTGGTCAAACCTACTTTCAACTCATTTTTAGCTTTTGGGAGTGTTTGGCAAAGTTAAAAATAACTTAAAATAAGTTAAAAACCAAAAGTAGGACTCCCCCAATTTTTTATTTTTTGACGTAAAAGTCATTTAAGTTGGACTATTTATTTTTGACTTAAAAACTACTTTAAGCCAATCCAAACGGGCTAGTTTTCTCATGAAATACTAGATTTGATGCATAATGTCAGTCTATCTCAATGTGTTTGGTCTATCATGGAATACTGAATTGGATGCATAATGTCAATAAAACACAGAGTGATAAAATTACAGTGTTGAACTTCCCAAACCAAGCTTGCAAAGATTGTTTCAGACCATAAAGTGACTTACATAATCGACATACAAGGATACTAAACTCCCCCGAGCAACAAAATTAGGTGGTTGCTCCATATAGACTTCTTCACAATGCAGTAGTCGCTAGAAAGTGCTCAAAATCTAGTATGAAGTATATGGATAATGTTGGAATCAATATACGAGTTGCTAAAACATGCTCATACGCCGGAGTATTAGATTTGATGGCTGAAAGTGGACACAATCTAAGAAAAAAAATATATGGGTAGGATCAGAATGATAGCACAATACAACTGAAAAATAGAAATTATATAGGAAAGGTCGGATTGACGGCACGACCCTATTGAAAAAGAGAAATAATATGGGTATGATCGAAATGATGGCAGGACCCTACTAAAAAGAGAAATCATATGTGTAGGGTCAGAATGATGGCACAACCCTACGCAAATCAGATTTGAGGAGTCATCGAAAAGAGGAATGGAACTACGCCAAATTAAATTTGAGTCATCGAAAAGACACATGGTTAGGACTGGGCATTCGGTAATTCGGTTCGGTTTCGTTTTTTTTTTTTTTTGATTTTTGGTTTTTGGTTTTTGGAATTGTTGTACCGAACACTGAACCGAATTCGGTTCGGTTCGGTTTATTAAGTTTGATTTTTTTTGTTATGGGCCTGCTGGTCGTCGGTCTTTCATCGCGGTGTTGGTGATGGTGTGGAACTTGAACCGAAATAGTAACTTGGAAAGTTGGAAGAGAAGCCGAAGCTATTAGCAAAAACCTACCAAAAGTTGGAAGAGAAGCAGGAGCTTGGAAAGTGTGGCGGAAAATTGGAAATTGAAAAGTGAAAACCTAATACTAAGTGCTACTGCCAACTGATATAATATTTATTATTTAATATTAAATATTATTAACATTTAATTGCATAATATATTATAATATATATTATTAAATATTAATTATATATATATGTATATTTTGGTTAAACAAAAATGCCAAAAATACGAAAACACGTCGAAAACTGAACTGAAATACCAAATACACAAAAACACATACCGAAAACCGAAATACCAAAAAGATTTGGTTTGGTTTTTCACAGTACTATGCAACTCAGTTATGAGAAAGTAGTTTAGAAAAATCCACCATAGTAGGCAAATGAAATATGAAAAGTAATCGGGGAGATGCACGATGCTACACAAATCAGATATGAAAAAAAAAAGTAGTCACCTAAAGGATGGCACAATGCTACACAAATTAAATATGAAAAAGTAGTCACTGAAAAGATGGCACGGTGCTACGAAAATCAAATATGAAAAAGTAGTCACCGGAAAGATGGCACGGTGCTACACAAATTAGATATGAGAAAGTAGTTATCGAAAAGATGACACGGTGCTACATAAATTAAATATGAAAAAGTAATCACCAGAAAGATGACACAGTGCTACACAAATACCGACGGATATGGGGTTGACACAAAACACCCCTAGAAAGTCACCAAAAATTGACGCACGACGACTTGTCTGATTGAGTTATCTTTTCCTGAAAATGGGGTTCATGCATATATCATTGGCCCTACTTTTGTTAACATAATCACTAGCCAGACGGGCGGCATATATGTGTAATAGCCACCCGCTGGCGGCGGAAGCTTTTGATTTCTACCAAGTTCGTAGAGGCCCTGATACCATGTGAGAAATATTGGAGAAGAATATTATTAAATTGTTGTCTACATTATTACACAGACTTTATTTATAAACACTAGTCACTACAATACAATCATTTACCAAGTAGGATATTATTTACTATTCCTATTCCTATGACCATTCTTATTCCTATTTGTATTCTTATTCTAAGTAAGATTGTATATACATATTCCTATTCTAACAATGGCATTAGCAAATCCCTTATTAAAAAATAAAAATATTTTCTATTTTATAAGAAAAAAAAATTATCGTTATCTAAATGAAAAATAATGATGGGTTACTATGATCTTATACTTATGACCTACATTATAGGTTAAAACGTACATGAGAATTAGCTACTTCAATTAATAAACGACATTAAGAAGAAAAAAATTACTTCCCACTTTTTTATTAGTTAAGAGATTTTAAAAGAAAAGAAACAAGGAAATGGTTCTTTAAAATTAATATTTTTATAAGGAAAAAAATGTGTTTAAAAGAAAAAAAATATTATCGAGAAAAGGGCATTTTTGACCCAATTAAGTAACAATAGGAAGGTACTTTTAGGGATATCAGATAAAAATGTAACAATAGCGCATTTTTGTTTAATTTTTTGCATAATTTAAGGGGAATTTTTACCCTTTTCCACAAGAAAATAGTAACACAAAATAACAGTGTTGGATAATGATTGTGATAAAGATTAATGCTATAATGCATCAATTCGATTTTCAAAGTAAAGAATTGCACGGCAGATCCAGGATATGAAGGTTACGCGGGTGCCACGGTCTTTAATATAAACACAGTGATGGACATCAAATTAGGGCGTAGATTCAGCAAATTCGATCCATTTTGGGCTAATCCAGGTCGATTTACAAGATTTTTAGTACATAAATAAATATACGATTATCTAACCAAAATGAGTTTTATATAATTCAATCAAATTCTATTGAACAAAAATGAGAAAAATATGAACGAAAAAACTAATTTTTTTGAATAGGCAATTACAACCCTCCAATTCAAACATAATGTACTTGAGTCATGATAATTAACAAATTGTAACTTATAATGAGTTTTATTTTTAAAAAAAAAAAAAAGAGCCAAACCAGTTTCTATAAGAGATCTCATCAACTTTAAGTAAAGACAAATATTTTCATTTCAGAAATTCACAAATTATCTAATACAAAACATTAATAAAAGAAATTAATTTGCGAACAAAAACAAAAACTCTTTAAAAGTTGCAAAAAGAAATTAATAAACTAGCACAAAACGATCCTTGCCCCTGTTGCTTTCATTTAAAAGATAAAGAAATGAAATGATTGAAACTAGGTATTGCTATTATTAGCATACTCATTTGAACTAGAGGCTTGTGTGCTAAAGGTTATATATACAACCTATTCCTACGTCTTTATTTCATCTCCGGGACAGTTGGAACTCCATGGGATTTATAATACCAATAACATTGAGACACAAAATTCAGGACATCACAATCCTATGTTATTCATTCGACCCCGATAGATCAGCAACAGTCAAAGGAAAATAGTGAGCATGCATAGTCTACTCAACCATTTTTATGGAAACTGATGGCATAGAGAAACAAGAACTGCATACCTTCATAAGCTGTTGAACAAAGAGAGTAACATCTTTCCCAGAAACGGGAATTGACTTAATGCTGCTCCCAATAACATAACCCTCAGCAACAGGTACAACATGGGTAGCACCATCTCCAATATCCACTACGACTCCAGTCATCTCACACTAAAGAAATAGCGTATAACAATTACAAGATATGTCAAATTGTTAGACCACAATTAAGTTCAGTTTCTGGAATAATGGAATGCAAGAAACCTATGATCATAAAGAAGAGAACGGATACACAGGATATTATGTCAAGCAACTAACGAACATACAAAGTTATTGATTTACTCTAGTGATACTGTGTCTATCATAGATGTTCTAGATTCTTTATAGCTAGACAAGGAAGACACTAGAGCTCTATTGTAAACATGGTTTCAGTACTACCCAAGTACTGTTTTGATCCCTGATATAGTAAAAAGTTGCTGATTTCAAAAAAAAAAAACTAACAAACATACTAAAGGTTGACATGCAACCCAGTACTCTCTGAATAGCTCAATGTTCATATTCCCATTTTCCACTAGAAAAGAAAAGGGATAATTTCAGAAACCTCCCTCCAGGTTTCGCTCTATAACACTCATCTCCCATGTGGTTTACGATATTACGTCTACCTCCCTTATTTTCATTTTCTTGTAACCATTCTTTAAACCTATTTAAAATAAATATAAATTAATTTAGATTTGACAATTTTACCCTTCTATATGCAAGCTTAGATCTAATTTTCAACGATTTATCTCTATTTCTTGGATCATTTTTCTTCTTTGCTCGTGGAAATGTTTATCTAGAACAAAATCTGATCGTTCTTATCGAATTTCTCTCTTGGGGAGTTCATTTTTATCTTCGATTTGAAGAAATTGTTGCCGGAAAATGATGGGTTATTGTGGGGGAAAGAATCATCAGTGAATTAATAAAGGTAAAATGAAGATGAAGAGTTAATATTTGGTGAAAATGGTGGGTCAGCTTGAATAAAGACTTTGATCTTTGTTTGATAAAAAAACACGTGTATATATATATATATATATAATAGTATTAATGTATTTGTGCTGATTTATTTTTAAAGTATTTGTTAAATGAGATATTTTTTATATAATATTTATTAATATATAGAAGGGTAAAATTGTCAAATCTAAATTAATTTATATTTATTTTAAATAGGTTTAAAGAATGGTTACAAGAAAATGAAAATAAGGGAGGTAGACGTAATATCGTAAATCACAGGGGAGGTAAGTGTTATAGAGCGAAACCTGAAGGAAGGTCTCTGAAATTATCCCAAAAGAAAATAATGAAGATATTAGGTTGGAACAGACTCCTTGGCCATTATTTTCCTTGACATGACAAAGATACCAGTTCATGTCATTGAGAAAAGACATAAAAGCTATTCTGCTTGACATACTGGGGAGTGCATACAGGAAGTAGATGAACTTAAACCAGAACGACTCTTTCAGTATGAGGATATTGATGATTAATGGTGCCCTTACAATCAGAATGCTAGCTTAGGTGACAAATTTCGCTGGAATGTAATTTGATTCTGGTTTTCAAGGTTCAAATTTGTTTGTAGATTTGTTGCATTCCCTGAAGATTACACACTTTTGGAAAAGGTATAAGGCATATGCACACTGCAGAGGCGATGCTACAGTCCAGTGCAGCTGAGACCAGTCAGCTTACAAACTGTTTGGCCTTATTTGCTTTACCCAACTTCATATTTTATTTGGTGTGGCCAGCATTTCACTTCATTTGTTTGCATATCATGGCTGCGTCTTGAGCGTTTACCTGTCCTTTTGGCCATGTAAAGGCTCAATTGGCACACCATGGGAGATGTGTATGTCATGAGGGTAATCAATGTTTGATCCCTTTACAGGACAAGTTCAATTATGATGAGGCTGTAGAGCCATTATTTGCTTGAATGATTCAGCATCACATTTAAAAATGCATAATTTATGATGGTACAGGACCGCAAGAAATCCCAATGCATGTGATTGGTGGTACAACGATGACCATATCCCCCTTATGTGTTTGAATATAGTTATGGGATATGAGATGGTTTGTTGCTCGGTACAAGGTTTAAGGCAATTCGGATGCGGGTCAAATCAACCCTAGATTTGGGGCGTCACATCTAACCTCTTAACTTTATTATGGGGGGATCAAACTATGCCATTGAAGAGGAAATATGTATTTTTTATTTTCCTCCAGCATTTCACTCTTACATTACCTGCTTGCCTCATATTGTACAATTCAAACCAAACTTCCTATCTACAACTAGAGTCACGGTGTCCTTTCCGAGTTAAAGTATGCCAGAGCCCATTCGTGCTTGTAACCTTAACTCAGGCCAACCAACAAGAAAAGCAGAGAAACACAAAAATACATCAAATAAATTCTTCCGTCTTGCCAAACCAACTAATAAAAGCAACCGAACTTTCCTAACACCACAATCTCCTATTATAACCATCTCCAGTGACTTAAACCAAGAGAAAAAGGAATTAAAGGGAACAAGAAAAAGGAGGGGCGGGAAGGGGGGAGGATATCAAGAGGGAAAGCTCAACTCGAGATGCAAGACAAGCTAGCTAGGGCTTTCATACAATGATTACTTTGACGGTGGCCTTCAAGGATTCATTTATCAATCTTGCTAAGTTGATTTGGATTTCTAAAATGACATAATTGTTGAATTTTTTCTCTCTACTTTGATAAATCAGTAGTTCGATTGAGTGAAAGGGAGACTTCCCGCATACAAGGTTCATATAAGAATAAAGGATCTTTGTAAAAGAAACCAATCATCTATACTAATTGGAATATAGTGAGAAGCTTTCTCTTTGTATGCAATTTTTGTTCAAAATTATGACAGCAACTAGTTGAAAAAGTATAAGAATATAATCGGGAAACTTTGAGGCGACCGTTTATCCACCTATCTTGTTAAAGTGAGTACAATTGCCTCTTGAAAAAAAAATCAATCTTGTGATGGGCAGTGTCCTACATGCTGGCCATGTCAGAGGCTCATCAGATGCCACATTATTTTTTGACATGCCTATTGGGTGGTAGCTCTGTAGGTACCCTTCACGGCCTTGGATTTGAGTTACTACACAAATTTTAGTTCCAGACTAAAATGAAAGATTACATCAATTAGACTCATTATAAAATTATCAAGTTGGTCATGAATTAAGTCATCTTGATCTTGGCCAAAATTCATTCTTCTTGGGCTTGGTTGGTGAGTTTCTTTCATGTCTAAGTTTTGGGCTTAAAATATATTAGAGCTCTTGAACGTGTCTTCTAAGGTTTTTAACTCATATTCACCGTAAGACATTTCTTTTTTTGAACTAAAAGTCCATAAGTTCTTCCTGAAGTTACTTAGCTTGTGATCTTGTCAATGGCTTTCTAGGAGTTCAAAACCTTGGCATTAGCTTCTTGAGGTGGTGTCTTTCCTCGAAAGCAATCTATTTCAAGCACAAATAATAGTCATGGAAGAAGCCTACCCAATCAACTCTAATGAGGCCCAAGAAGAATAGACTTTAGCCTAACCCTAGAGACTTAGTTCATGACCAACTATAATGAGTCCAATTGATGCTATATTTTATTTTGTCTTGAAACTAGAATTTAAGTAGTCGGCCTTGTGATTGCTTGTTTGACAAGAAATTATTTTGGATGCTTGTTTGACTAGTATTCCTTAAGGAAGTAGGATTTGGTTACTTGTATGACTAGAACTCCTTAAGTAAGGATGATTTGACTTATACTTAGGTTACTTGTTCAACTAGTTTGCTTATAATAAGACCATTCATTCTTCCCTTCATAAGGAAAAAAAGAAAAGATATAGGACCATTCATTCTTCTACAGGTATGTCTCCTTTTGAAGTTATTTATGGTTTAAATACCCCTACTCCTATTGATTAACTTCCATTACTTGAAAATGACATTGCTAGTCTTGATGGTATGACGAAACCAAAGTAATGAAAAAAGATCCATGAGCAAACTCGCCTTCTAAGTTACTCGGACTCTTCACTTTTGGTGCCGCACCCGTGTCGACACGACATGGGTGTGGGTGTGGGATCCGTGTCCGAATTGGTCAACCGATTTTGGGTACTTTGATGAAAATTGATGGGGAAAGTCTGGACAGTTTTACACTCTGTTTGGATCATTGTTACCCATTGTATTGTATTGCATCGTTACTATACCTACAATGTTTGTTTTGATTGTTACTTAAAATGTATTATATTGTATTGTTAAATTTCGTTGTTACGTAACAATGAAAACCCCTATTTTATGGAACAACCGATTTGGTGTGTTTCCATTGTTACTTAATTTCTTTTTCCAATTATATCTTTACATAATATTTTAAAATACTATTTTACCCTTTACCTTATATTATTTAATTCTAGTCAAACCTCCTACCCTAGAATAATTAAGGATATTTTAGTAAATTTATAAATTACAATACAGTACGATACAATCAAACCAAACAATTAAAATGTTATTAAACAATAACAAACAATACAGTCTAGCCAAACATTGTATCTACCATACAGTACAGTACAATAGAGTACAATACAATACAATACAATACAATACATTATGAAACAATGGGTAACAATGATCCAAACAGTGTTAATGATTTTTGTAATCAATACAAAAGCTAAGGTGAAATTGAAGAAAATGGAATACCTTTTATATAGAAATTTCTATGTCACTCTTTTTCCTTTAATCTCCTTCCAGGATTTTCCTTAAGTTCTCCATATGATATCTAATTTATAACTCTATTTTAGATATTTTAATTATTTTTAGGCGAATCCCCGCACCTGTATCTATACATGGATCCATATTCCCGAATCCTAAAAATTAGATCATGAAGGATCCGACCTCTAGGTCCGCACACGTATTGAACACCCGCACCCGAGTCTGAGCAAGTTAGCTCGCCTTCATATTGAGAAAAAGAAACACCAAACAACCTTAAGAGTAAATAACAATGGAAAGAAAATCACTTCCCAGCTTGGTGATTGGGTTTAGGTGCATATGTGCAAGGTGAGGTTTCCTAGCAAACGAAATCCAAGTTGCACCTAAGACGGTATTTGTCATTTGAAGTTCTTCAGAAGAAAAGAAATAATTTCTACAAGTTAAACCTTCCCAGTAACTACCAATTTAGCGGTACTTTTAAGTAGTTGATCTTTCTCTTTTTAACGTGGGTCCCAATTTTAGAGGGAAATTTCACGGGAGATTGATAGCCACCAAGGGAAGACACCAATTCAAGAAGTTCAAGGTCAAGCTTTGGAATCTTCTAGAAGGCCATTGACGAGATTACAAGCTAAGGAACTTCAAGAAAACTTCCTGGACTTCAATTCAAATAATGAAATTCTAATGGTGGAAGATGACTTATAACCTTAGAAGACAGGTCCAAGAGCTTTAATATATCTCAAGCTCAAATAGAAGAAATGGAAGAAGTTGACCCAACAACAATGAGGCCAAGGAAGAAAAGGTTAAAAGCCAGTTCCTAGAAGACTTATTTCACTATCAACTTGATAATTTAATAAGAATCTAATTGATGTAATCTTATATATTTGGTCTTGGGCCTAGAGTTTGAGTAGTTATCCTTATAATTGCTTGTTTGACTCTACTAATAATCCTTTTGGAGGGTTGTTTGACTAATAATCCTTTTGGAGGTTTGTTTGACTAATATTCTTAAGTATGATTTGATTTATTTTCCTTTTTTTTCTTTTTGATAAATGTGGTGTCCAGGGCAGCTTGTGTGCACCTCAACTAATTCCAGGGGACATCTACCACCTCTTACCAGCACTAGATACCTTGCAAGTCTATCCACTAAGACTAGGGCATATTGGAAGAAATCACTAGTGTTCTTTGTCTTTGTTGGGATTTGAACATGAGATGTCATTGTTGTCAACCCACTTCATTGACAACTACACCACACCCTTCGGTGCTACTTATACTCCTTTTTGGTTGCTACTCATAAAAAAAATGGCATGATATCTCAAGACTCACCCACCCCCCACCCCCAAAACTCCACTCCAAAAGACAGCTCAAAGCTCTGGCAAAACATCATCACACTAGTCACATATCCTCATATAGCTCCTTTTTTTCCTTCTTCTCCTCCCTCGACCAAAAACTATTTCCGCTCAATCCCTCTATTATATGTTCTTCCTCTTCAACTTTTTCAGTAATCTATCGTTTGCCTCCTTCAGACCCTAGTTGTTTGCTTTCCCCAAAATTGACCAATATACATTTATTCCCTAAACATATCAACTCATTTTTCAAAGTTCCTTTCTTCTAGTCTCACCAAAGGCGATAAGGTGCTTCTGTTTAACAATTGGATAGTTTAAATTACATGAAAGCAAGTTTTAACGGGTAGAGAAAACCCTGCTCCCACCCCCACCAAAAAATAACACTATTAGTAGCATATGTCAAGGTAAATTACCTTTATAAATGAGTAGGTCACATACACACTTCAGGGACCTGACCCTAGGACACTAACATCAATACATCATTTTTCGGATATTGTTCCAAATAAAGGACATGGCATCATGCTGCCAATGTTTGTTCTTATTTTATACCACCAACCTAAATTTGCAGTTGTACAAGAGACAGGCACCCTTTTTCAGAGTTTACACTCTCATAACTTGGGCAACAATCTGAATCTCAGAAACATAACAAGCTTTCCACTAAGCACATCAATTTGTTCACTTTTAATCATTTTATGAATGAATACATGAGTGAAGCTAGTCCTAATATTGCGAGAAATGAAAGCCTATTACACAATTAACTTTCTCTTAATACTCTAGTCAAGAAAGCTACTTGCTAAGCAAAAGGTTTGTTGAACAAGGTTAACAAAATTTTACAGACCAATTAGATCACAAAAATATCAATACCAGAAAATATCCGACCCCCATATATCATCAAAATCCAGAAAACAACAGGAAACAAAGTTGTTTAAGATAGAGTACCAACCTTGGATGCTGTGTACCCAGCTGCCAAAGCAAGAACCGGCTGCACAGCTATATAAAGTCCCGGAACATTGAAAGTCTCAAACATAATTTCACCAGTATATTCTCGGTTCTCTGGTGCAGTCATAGGGCTTTCAGTCAATAGAAAATAGTGATCCTCAGGGTCACAACGCAGGTAATTGAATATACACTGCTGCCAGAACCGCTCCATTGAATCCCAGTTATCAACTTGTCCATGTTCAATAGGATAGGTAAGATTGTAATTGCTACTAGATTTAGATCTGGTCAAAGCCTCATCCCCAATAAAGAAATCAAGATCCGCCATAACCCCTGCACTGTGCTGGGCTAACCAGTTGCTGTTCTTAGTCAAAGCTCGAGGCTGATTAACAAATGATTCGTTAGCTGCAACAACTGTAGGTAGTATGAAACATGGCTCCACATTTCCAGCAAAACCAATTTTTGTATACCTGAAAATAAGAGAAATTTGGAATCAAAAACGTAATTGGGTTGAAAAAACTGAATCAAACAGGTTGAGGGTGATGTAGAATGAATACCCGGTTCCATTGTCAAAGACTACAGCAGGGCGAGAGGTAGAAGGGTCCATAAGGATTGAAGAAGAAAGAGAGGATCTGCGGTTGAGATCCAAAGAGAGGTTTAAAGGGTATAATCATGGTCGTAGGAGGAAGAAAGGGGATGAAAACGACGACGTATAAGGTAGGAAAAAGGTGATGACGACGGAAGTACCGATGGTAGAAGGGTTCAATTCATCCATTTCCATTTCATTGAATAAGGCAAACAAACAGTTTCGAATTTATTGAATAAGGCAAACAAACAGTTTCGAATTCATCGTCTAGTGTGAGATTCTGCTCTTCTTCAATTTTGTACTTTTTCTAATTGAATTTGGATTCCTTTCTTAGCAATCAGACAACATGTTTGCTAGTATTTCTCGATTGTTGATTGGGCTTTACTTTGTTCCAACTTCCATGGCAGGTGGCTATTGTAATTAGGAAATTTTAACAAAAATATTTGGGTCGGGTTTTTCAAATATCAAATCATTATTATCAGATAGGAAAATTTCAAAATCAGCAAACATTAGGCCTTAATTAGGAATTTATAGCTATAGTTTACTTAATTACGGATAACAACAAAATATTAGGGGAGGAGAGAGGCGAGCGAGATATGGGAGAGAGATGAGAGATAGCATTTTTCATGGATTTTGGAGAAAAAATTATTATAAGTACAAACAAATTTGTATCAAAATTAATACACATTAAGAGGAGAGAGGCAAGCGGGATCGAGAAAGGGAGGAGAGAGGCGAGCGAGATCGAGAAAGGGAGGAAAAAAGCGAGCGAGATCCAGAGAGAGAAGAGAAGATGGTAAGTTGATGAGTGGTAGATTTACACTCATTTAGGGCCTTTTTAGTCCAACAATTAGTGTCCTCAATGCCTAATTATGTCTCATTCTAATGCTAGTTTGATGATTTGCGACTATAAAAACTAAAGGACAAGGCAAGGATGAATGCATAAAAGAAAGGTCAACAACATTGAAAGAAGTGTAAACTCCACACTGGGAGTCGCCTAACCAAAAGGGTGGATCGGCCAAATGACATGACCTCGTCTAAAGTGACAGTGCTCACAATCGAAGACAATCGAGGCAGGTCGGTAAACCAAAAGTGAAACGGCGACTCGCCAAAAATGAAGGGCGAACAAGATGATCATTGCCAAAGGTGACAGGACTTGGATGAAGAATAAGGTTTAAAAGGCAAACAAATGTGGTAATCGGCGATCCGCTGAATATGAAAGGTAGATTCAAATGAGTTCGCCAACTAAGGTTCAAACAGTTGAAGCCTGAAGAAAATGAAAGGGGAGCTGAGGAACAAACGACGATCCTTCGATCATGTTCGACGAGCCCAGCTAATATCGCTAAGTTGGTCATGCAGTGAATTTTGGGCAAAATTTTGGGAAACTATAAATAGCCTAAAGGAGATAGAAAATAGAGAGTGGGATTTGAGTATTTTTCAGAGCTTTTGGAAGAATTCTTAGAGAGTTGTGTATGAGATATTTTACTTTGTGAAAAACATTTTAGTTTGCGATTTTCAATTCTACTCTTGCAATTGACAATTGGAAGTTGAAATCAAAGTGGGTGTTGATTATAATAGCTTAATTTCATCACATCCATGGTTGTTATCGTGATAGGTATAATTTCTTTACTTTTTGTGGTGAGTGGCTAAAATCCCAAGTCTAGGGTTGCAATTATGGAGTTGTTTGTTAATTTAATGTAGTGGTATTGTGTTTGATCTATTTTATTATTATTCATTCATGGATTTAGGCTAAATAGCATGAGGTTAACTTATGGGTTAAGGTTTCAAACTTAATCCTATTTTCGATCTCTGATTGATGCTCGAAAGAGATTGATTGGGGTGGGTAATTAGTTTGATGCATGCAATTAAGGTTTGATTTCTATAGTTTGCTTGAAAGAGGAATATGGTCCATATCTATTTACCCCAAATTTGCTCAAAAGGAAATATCGTAAGGTAATGGGTTGTTTTGTTATTCACATAGATGAGACCAAAAAGAGATTCTATGAACTGATGTTTTGAGATAGAAAGAAGATTAATGTCATTCGATGACCTATCATATCCATGATTATTTAACACTATTAAGAAATACAATTACCCCGGTGTGATATTGATTTCAATCCCCACACCCTTAAATTACTTGAATTTCTGAATTTTAGTTTAATTGTGACATTTGATACTATGAACTCTTTTAGTAAATTTGGTGGAATCATCCACTCATTTATCTTAATGTACTACAATGAACAAGTCCACATTCTTAATTTCTTAGTTTGATTCTTATCATTATACCATTCTTTGTGTGATTAGACCCCAACTCTTAGTTGGATATTTTTATTGACAACGTCTGCTTACTCTTTGAATTTACTTTTTACGAGGGGCCGTTGCCGAGGAATGGTGGCTAAGAATTCAATTAGCGAAGTTAGTTTATAGCCTTGTTGAATTGTAGTAGATTGTTGCTTGGCATTGTTGTGTTGTGGATTTGCAGGTCTAAATACGAGTGAAAATGGTAGTGACAATGCTAGTCACTACGAGCAGAACGACCAAATGGGTGACACAAATGACATGCACATGAATGTCATTGCAACCAATAGAGCTATTTGGTTACCACCTACAACGGGGAGGGTGATGTTCCATGTAACCGAAACAATGTTACAACTTTCCAAATGAGAGGAATATTTGAAAGATTGTCTCATGAAGATCCTCATGAACATATTCAAAATTTTATGGATATTTGTGGGTCGTTCGTCTTCAAAAACATCTCACAAGAGTCCATAAGGTTGAGATTATTTATGTTCTCTTTAACGGGGAAGTCATAAAATGGTCGGCGGAGTTGCCAAATGATTCTATTATTTCTTGGGAGGAATTAACTGATACATTTTTAGAGATATTATTTCCTCCCTCGAAAACGGTCAAACTTAGGGACAACATTCAGAACTTTAAAAGAGTGGGAGGTGAACCTCTTCATGAAATATGATTGTGGTTCCAAAAATTGCTTCTACAATATTCAACACATGGTGTTCCAAATAATTTGTTATTGCAATACTTTTATTGTAGCCTTAATTCAGTCAACAAGGGTTTGAATGATCAACTTATCCAAGGTAGGTTATACGACAATCGTTTGATGTGGCAATATTGTTGCTAGATGATATGACAAAAGTTAACCGAGCATGGCATACTAGAGATGATCAAGTATCTTTTCAACAATGGGGCACAAGCAAGTAACAAATAGAGAAGGATCATGAGCACGATGAAAACATGACTAAAATGATGACTTACCTTGACTTGCTGCCCAAACACATCATGGGATGTGGATCGAAAACGGTAAATGCAATTGGAACAAGGAGTGGATGGTGCCCGCAAGATACCAATTTGAGGTATTATACAACAGACATGTAAAATACATGGGATATCAATTGGGGGGGGGGGTGTGGTTTCTCATCCTAACTACCAACATCGAGTGGGAACCAAAGTTGGAATAATATCTCGTTTATGGGATATCAAGGGGGGGGGGGGTGTGGTTTCTCATCCTAACTACCAACATCGAGTGGGAACCAAAGTTGGAATAATATCTCGTTTCATGATTGCCCAAGACCAAAAGAACTAGCTGGACTGGAGGGAAACCAAACTGATGAAATGCTAACAAGGATCTTCAACAAGGTTGAAGAGTTTGACAAGGTATTGAAGGATTTGAAAAATGACTTCTCCACCTTGACTCAAATGGTTACTTCCCATTCTGTATCAATCAAGAAACTAGAAACTCAAATGTATCAGATCTCCACCTACCTAAATCCAAGGCAAAAGGAAACATTGCCTAGTGACACCATCATAAATCTAAAAAATGATTGTTGATGAGTAAGAATTGTGTCGTGCCATGATGTTAAATAAGGCGCTTCTTGGGAGGCAATTCAAGTTTATTTTATCACCTTCAATAACGTGTGTTGTGAGTGTAGGTTGAAAAGAAGTCAAAATGTTGAAAAAGGTAAATTTGGTGATGTCACGAACCATGTCGACAACTCGCCAAAATCATTGTGCAGACATTTTCATGTTCGCCTTCTATGCTGAAAAAATGAAAAAATAGTACTATCAACTTTTGCGAACAGAGATCCAGTCGGTGATTCGCCGAAGTGCACTAAGCGGACTGCATCGAGTCCGATGAATTGATCTTCAAGTTTGGTACTCGTTCAGGCCTCATCGGCAACCTTAAGCTCCTTCAACGATTCGTCGAATCTGTTTGATGACATTAGTCACAGTCCATCGAGTGCACTTGAGTTAAATGGTTCAAGAGTCTTTTCAAGTTTTAAAAGAAAACTTTTCATCCTTTTGTGCTCCTTTTCTTCCTAAACTTTCCATACCTTTGTTTTGGTACTTGTGTGACCTTTTTTGCGTGGATTTTGTTGTTCGGAGTGCATTGTGATGTTTACTTCTCAACCCTGGACCTTTTTCCTTCAATATTATGCTCTTTGGTCTTCTCTGAGGTTGGTTTTCGAAGATTTCATCAATATTTTTGCTTAGTCCTTATGCATGTGTTGTTGGTATCGTAATATATTACTATTGGGCTGTTTTAATTGGGTCTTTCTAAAATTGTTGAAATTGATTTTGAAGGTTAGAATTTGAAATTGAGTCTTTAAATGTACCGGGTTTTGCTTGAATTGATTATGGGTGAAGTCTATTGCCCTAGTATTGCCCTAAAGACTTATATTTGTCCAATGATTGATAGAGTGACGACTTTCTTAAAGGAAAATCGTCAATTTGGGCGGTACTTTGTGAAATCTGGAGGAAGTCTGAGTACCCAAGACTCGTAAAACATGTGGGTAGATTGTAAAACTAATTGAGTGATGGATATTGTTGTGATATTGATATTGAAATTGTGAAAATAGGCATTGGGTTGAAAATTATCTATTTGGCGGGGATGTCTTAGCTCACTAAGGCGATTAGGCAATTTACCAAGTAAGCCCCAAGTCACCTTTTGTGCTTGATTGTCTGACTTGGGTATTGTCCCATTCAACGGTCTTGTCTTAAATCGTCAAAACCAACTTGGCGTATCATCAAGTTGGAGTAGACATCACCCTATGTGCATGTTCCTGTTAATTTTGCGTTGTCACTTTCGTAGAACTTGCATCAGTGCCAAAATGCAACTTTTTCAATCCACTTTGACTTACTAATTTTTGAGATGTTACAGTGTGGCATTTCAAATTGGAATTTAGCATATTTGCATTTGTCTTATTGTTAGGGATTATGGGTGAAAAGAGAAGTTTACCCTTTTCGTCCACTAAGTACTTGTACCATTCTTGCTCATATGGAATTTCATGCTTTTGAAATCAAGGATTACCTAAAACATAAATTTTTTTATAGTGGTTGAGGCACACCATTCTCATAGTTGTGTGAGGAATTATTTTAATAGATAAATTTTTTTTAGGTCTCATTACTTTATAACATTTTCATTTCTTTTTTCACTCCTCCACTCAACCTTTTATTTTGCCTCTATGTAGAGTACTTTGTAATTTATTAAAAAATTAATAAATTTCATTCCACAATAAAAATAATAATATCCTAAAATTAGTATTTCATTATCTCTTTTGCGCATTATTTCTCCAATTCTTCAATAAACAATAGTAAATCCTAAAATTGGTAATTTATTTTCTTTATTATTTTGTTAATTCATAATATTCTTTTGTTAAAAATCAAATAGAAATATATATATATTAATATTAATTTAGATTTAAAGTCAAATAATTACGCATTTAAAATAGCTAGATTAAGATTTGTGCTCTTAACCTCATACAAAATCAATTGTATTATTTAAAGGACAAAAATAAATAGTTATTTAAAATTACATGTAAATCAACAAAATCAAAATATAATTAATTGATCACTTTTCATTTAACTCTCTCTATTAATTTATTATTTTTTGCTCTCGAAATTCAAGCTATAATTTTTTTTTAATTATATTAACATGATAAGAATTGTAACTAATAATTTTTTTTGGTTGAATTGCAACTTAGTGAGAAGGTTATATTTTTGAACAAACACTATAAATTGCAATTCTTATCATGTTAATATAATAATAAAATGTTACAAATCCATTTACTTGTGTGGATGTTTATTTTCAATCTACACCTAACGTAATGTCTCATTTAATGTATCACTTAAAGAGATTCTAACGTATTTTGTTTAACATTGTAAACGAGTGATTTCTACATCCTATAAAAGGGTATGTTTCACCCTTGTGAAAGAGAACACTCGAAGAGATTAAATAATATTCTCTACTTTATACTTTCCATCACCATTTGTCTACCTTTATTGTTTGTGTATTCTTGTATTTTTCTCTTGTTTTACAACACGTTATCAGCACGAGTCTCTAACCAATTAAGACCTACTTAATTCGGAATTATCTCTTTTTCCTAAAAGTTAATCAATTTTCTTTCCGAGTCAGGTATACATTTATATGTTTATAACATCTAGAATAGGACTTACATAAGTCTTTGATTTGTAATTTAATTATTGCATACATAGCATGCTTTAACTATTATTATGGTACTTTACTAGACATAATAATCAATACGTTTTAGATTTATATTATTATGTTATTTATATGCTACTAACTTATAACTGTAAATTAATTACTAAGTAATATAATAGCATGCTAGTTAAAATACTCGTAAGTATATTCTCTCATTTATGATAAGTATTTGTGTGTCATAAAGAATAATAGTATTATATTAAATATGACTTGAAAATCTTACAAAACTTTGACATTAATAACTATTGAAAGTAGTAATAAATATTTTAAAATAATTAGAATATATATTAAATTTACCGTTTCATACTTTATGGGTTTACATGCTTTTGTAACATTCCATGTTCATGCATATAATATATTTTATATTAATTCCTAATCATTTGAAACATTAATTTATCTTTTATTATAAAGAAATCAACATCATGTTATTAACTCAACTATTTTATGATAGTTTTCATCATGTTGAATTTGTCAAAGCGTGAGTTTGTGGCACTTGACATTTCTGGAAAGAACTATTTGTCATGGGTACTTGATGCAAAAATTCACCTTACCGCTAAGGGTCTTGGTGATAGTATAATCAAAGGCAATAAAGCATCAAGTCAGGATAAAGCGAAGGCTATGATTTTCCTTCGTTATCATCTTGATGAAAGCCTGAAGGTTGAATACTTGACAGTAAAAGATCCACTTGAATTGTGGATATGTTTGAAAGGGAGGTATGACCACCTCAAGGCAACGGTATTGCCAAGGGCTCATTATGAGTGGATGCACTTACGGTTTCAAGATTATAAAACCATAATTGAGTATAACTCTATTGTATTTAGAATCACTTCCCAATTGAAATTATGTGGGGAAACTATAAATGACGAGGACATGTTGGAAAATACACTAACTACTTTCCATGCCTCTAATGTGATACTACTACAACAACAATACCGTGAAAAAGGATTTCAAAAATACTCTGAATTGATCTCATGCCTTCTGGTGGCTGAGCAACATAATGCCCTTTTAATGAGAAATCATGAAGCCCGACCCACTGAAAGTGCTCCATTATCGGAAGCACACGGGGCAGAAGCACATGACCAGTCTGAAATAAGATAAAATAATCAGGGTCATGATAATGTGTGTGGGCGTGGAAAGGGAAAAAAATGATATAAAATCGTCGAGGTGGTAGTCATAACAAAAGAGAGAACAATATGGGTCCTCAAAATAATCCTCCTAAAGAAAGAGCGATCACTGTCATCGTTGTGGCCTTAAAGGTCACTGGAAAAATGAATGTCGGGCAATGATCTTAGGCGTATTTATATGCATAGGAACCAAATAATACCCGCATTTAGACCAAGTTTGGAATCATTTTATGTTGATTTATAGTCGTGTCGAGTCTTTTGATTGTATATATACTAACCAACATGATTAGTTGTGTATGTGAGCTTGAAGGAAGAAACAAGCACTAAAATGGGCATTGGGAATCACGAAAGGATCCAAGTTGAAAAGAAGCAAGAAAGAAGAATGAAGAAATGAAGTGCAAGTCAGATCCGTATCCTCTCCGCGTCATGGAGAGGAATTCTATTCTTGGTCGCAAATTAAAAATAGGACATAATGGTTTGTGACATCCCCGCGTCGCGGAGAAGAGAAGAACTCCTTGAACTGGAGTTGAACAAACACCTTTGCGTCGCGCCCAGTGTGCCAGTTTTGGCAGTTTCGACTAACTATAAATAGATTAATATTTTATTTTATTAAATATCAGTAGTCACCAACTGTGTAGCATATATAGACAATGCATGGAACATGACCTCATAAGCAGCCACAAACATACCACCTTGTTCCAACGCCATAAACTCATCTTTCTTACGATCTCTCAAAGTTTTAGGCACATATTTCTCCAAGAATAGAGCATGAAACTGGGTCCAAGTGGGTGGAGGTAACACTGAAGATCTGCATTCCATATAAGCTCTCCACCACTGCTTGACATCACTTGAACTTGAAAAGTCATGAACTCAACCCCATGCTGATGTACAATTCCCAACTTATGAAGCCTCTCATAGCAGTCTAAAATAAACTCATAAGCATCCTCACTCTCAGAAACAAGAAATACAGGAGGCTTTAACTTCAAAAAGTTAGTCAACATTTCATGCTCATTACCAGTCATAATAGAACCCAACAAAGGATGAAAGAAAGCATTTTTAAAGAACGACGATTGGGAGAGCTATTACATCAGTTTTTAGGGTTCTTTCCTAAACTCTTCTTCTTTCGATCTATTTATGATATTTAAACTTTGTTTGATCGAAATTACTATTATGAGTAGCTAATTTCCCTAGTTCTAGGGCTGTGGCTACATAATGATTGTAACTTATTGAGGTTTTATGGATTGTCATTAACTATCATATGAATCTCTTATGTTCTTGTTTTTCGTATCGTTGGAGATATGTGCCTTCTGCACAGTGCCACAATTCATACGATACTAAGAGAAAATAAATATTTCTCTTATTTGATTATGAAAAAAGCACATGTTAATACAATATCCAGTAGTACAAAATTGATTGAGGGCTATGGAAGAGCGGCCTTATTACTACTTGGAGGAACATTATTGGAAATTAATAATGCATTGTATTGTAGTAAGTCTCAAAGAAACTTGTTAAGTTTCAAGGTTATTCGCCAAAATGGCTATCATGTTGAGACTGCAAATGAAGGAAAGGTGGAATACCTTTATATTACTACGATAAATGCAGAGAAGAAAATTGTGCATGAAAAATTGTCAACACTTTCTTCTGGATTGTATCATACAAATATTGGTACGATTGAATCGCATGCCATAGTAAACAAAATATTTACTGGTTTCAATGATTTTATCATTTGGCATGATCCGTTTGGGCCATTCCGGTTATAATATGATGCGCAAAATAATTGAGAATTCACATGGGCATACTTTGAAGAACCAAAATGTTCTTCAATCAAAGAAATTCTCTTGTGTTGCTTGTTCTCAAGAAAAGTTGGTTATCAAACCATCTGCGACTAAGGTTGGGGTGGAATCCCCTGCATTTCTAGAATGAATACATGGTGATATATGTGGACCTATTTACCCTGCATATGGACCATTTAAATATTATATGATCTTGATAAATGCATCTACAAGATGGTCACATATGTGCTTATTATCAACTCACAATATAGCTTTTGCGAGGTTGTTGGCTCAAATAATAAGGTTAAAAGCACAATTTCCAGATTATGCAATAAAAACAATTCGTCTTGATAATGCTGGTGAGTTTATGATTAATAACGTTTCAAAGGCACTTCATCCAATACTAAGCGTCAACGATCGTTAGTTAGTAATATAACCCAACTAAGTGAGTTGGGGTCGAGTCCGAGTGGTACGTATTTGAAAATCAATAGAAAAACATGTATATGCTCAAGTCAATCATAGGTAAAAACATTTATGAATAAAAGCATGGTTCAAGTTTGAGGTGACACAAGTGTCAAATAACAGGGGGATTTGAGTTCAACTATCTGCTACAACAACAAATAACACAAAAATAACAAGTATGGAGACAGGTTCTTGGGATGTGATTGGATTATGGGCTAAGGTAGGCAAATGGGTGATTGTAATTAATAGTGAATAGCTGTAAATCAGTGAATAAGCTAGACTTTAGTGGGGATAAACTTTCTCTTGAACAATTTCCCCCGAATCAAATTGGTTTCTCTCAAACACCAATAACCAACAATTAAGAACAACCTACGCTTTAATACATTCACTCTCTCGAGTTGAGTGTGTGGAAAAGGGTTTAAGATTCACTCTCTTGAGCTGAACCTATGACAACCCAATACCCACAGACCATCAAATCAGTAATTTTGGTTTTAAAACCTCTCTCTCGAGCAAGCAAAAAACACGAAGGTAGAGTTGCATTTGCAACTACAACCCTTTATATTAAGCCACAATTACTAAATGAAATCACTTTTAAACAACATTTACACTATCAATTAATAATACCCAGCAGCTAAATCAACCCATAATCACATAATCACACCCCAAGAATTGGGGTTTTAGCTAGACATCATAAAAAGATAGAAATCGTTACCAAATTGTGTTTCCATCAACTGGGTAAGATTAATATTGTCTTTACAAAGGTCTAAGATGAAGAATCTTCAACACCCACTTCCAATTTCTCAGAAATGGAAATCTTCAAAGCTAAGGAATATTGTCTCGAAACTTAGTTCTAAGCTCTCTAACTTGAAAACTGAACAATAATGAAAAACTACATAAAAATCTGATACAATCTGATACTAAACTAAAAATTCAAGCATGTATTTATAGTCGCCAAAAATGTGTTGTGAAGGACCATTCGGCGCAATAAGTCGGGATCACCGATCCACTCGGCAATCCGCCCTTTGGTCAGTTCCATCGCCTTTTTGCTTTGGCCTTCAGCAACTTCAAGTTCTATAACTTTGGGCGATATAGCACGGCATCGCGAAACTGTTCGGCGACTTGCCGACTGCTCCTTTCTTACGTCGACTTGATTTTT